GTTCCTCAACATCTCCTCCCTCCAAGAGAGCAAACTGCTTAAACTGTTAAATCTATTACTAGATTCGACATAGAAATCACAGCACTATGCAAAAAGAATGCAAGTCAGGTATTATCCCACCAATTTTATTACTCATCTACCCAGTTCCTTCTTTTAAAAATAAAATTATTTTATGTTGGAGAAAAGCATTACCCTTTTGAAAGAACATTAGTCAAATTACTGTTTTTTCCAAGACTTTGTCAAATTAATTGCTTAAATTACTGCTTCCTGTGACAGCTTTCCCTGAAGGATATATCCTGTAACAATAACTTTCACACTGCTTTTTCTAGTTATGGATGCCTGCCTGGCTATCTCTGTCACTGAGAAAGTATGGTATATCGTTATTTGTGGATTTTTTTTTGATAGATCTCAATATGTAACATTTTAAAATCTATTGGAAAATTCACTCCCTCCCCACCAATGCTGTTATGAGGATTCCCCTGTCATTTTCACAGTTACACAGTAGTGTCATTGTTTACTGAACAGATTTTGTGTATCATCTGCTCAGTCTTAACAAATGCAAAACATTCTCCCTCTGTGAAGAGCTTTTCCCTTACATACTAGTGATGAGGCATTACTGTTCCTGCTAGTATTCATTCACTATCAAACTGAGTTATTTGGTAGATGAGGAAAAAAGCCCTGATTCAATTGCAGGCTAACATCAGTATAACCAAGTACACTTCATACATCACTAACTGGGGAATCAAGACACAAAGATCTCTTCAGATGGCTACTAAAGTCATTGCCATCCTCTATCTCCATGATTTTTGGAAAGCACATCTCAAACTGTATCTGGAGTTCAGCCAAAATTGGAGCCCACAAGATCATTCTTTGTGAAAAATCAACCAAAAATCTGTGCAACAGGCTATCCCTTTTCAGGAACCCAACTCACCTCTAATTGTCCTTTCCATACAGCAGTATCAATAAGCACACAGAAACTGGAGAAAGACTAGTGTTCTGTGGCTGTTTCAATTGCATACATGCAGTATCCCAGATAACACGCTTTTTGGCTCTGATGAAGGCTAGCATCAGGCAGCTAGGTTCTCGAGAAACAGTATCAGCCCATCCGTGTCAGTGGAGCTGCATTTACAACAGCTGATGAACTGGAAGCTTCCTTAGTCCTAATGATTCAGTAGCTCAAAGAAGGGAAGTGCTGCAGGATTTTATGAACAACAACCACCCCATCAAGTTCTTTTGAAACTCTCATCCCCTCTGTTGCAGCTTCTTGAAATGCAGAGAATTGCACTACTAGAAGACAATCAAAAGTTAGCCAAGTTTAGCAATCTTGTAATCAAAGCTGACCTTGTGACTTGAGTACAACTGTCTATAGGTGACTATCATCTGAAGCCAAAACCTACAGATACAAAAAGACCCATTCTCCATAGCTTTACTTGGGAGGATAGCATCTATTAGCTGTAGTAGACTCAATTCTCCACATGGTGTAGCCCTTTGAGAAGAGGCTGAGCCACAGTATGAAGTTACAGATTTAAAAACTCTCCATTTTTAATCACCATTTCTATCAATCTATCCATTGAGACTCTTTCTAACATTTCTTTTGTGACAGGTCATTATTGTTGAGAAGAGTCGAACATCTACAACCTTTAGCAGAATATCTTTTCTCTAGGTCAGAATTTAGTTCTTAGACCAGAGATGAGTGGGCTGGCTATAAAAGACTTCAGTGTTCAGCAAAAGGATGAACACAGGAAAATAAACACCTGGAAGAATGTAAACGGGGGATGGGATGGGGTGGGGGGAAGGGAATCTTAATAAACAAAGCAAGAGGGTGTTTTTACCTCTCCTTTACAAATACAGTTTGAAACCAGAAGGAACAATTATGGTAAGTTTTAACTTCTGCTGTTAAAATACCAGTGCGGCAGGTTTTACCCAAACAGTGTACACAGGCCCCATAACTGCTTACAAAACACTCCAAATTTTTTCTATTTAGCTTTCTAGATTTTTGTTCGGCTGCATTTGTCTGCGGGGTAGTAGGTCACATCATCTACATTAGCATGACATTTTTGGAGTAGCATGGTGCTCAGCTTTTAGCATCTTTACAGGAAAGAAAATTTCAGTAATTAGATTTTTTTAATTTTAATTTAAAGATTATACTCATTGTTTCATGCTGAAATGTCTTTCCTTAGTAAGGTTTAATGATTTTTTTTTTCAACTTGATTCCTACATTAACATCTGCATTTTGATCATTCTTTATCCCCTTTTTACTAAGGTAAGAAAACAAATTATAAAAACACAAGTATTCCATGAGTGATTTTTAGAATGATGCACAAATAAAGTAGCAACTACCAACTGCAGCATTGAATACTTGGAAACTGAGAAGGCTAAAATACAAGCTTTTAAGAATATTACATACCTATAAGCTATTTAATGGTAAACATGTTTGACGATGCAATATCATTAGTCAGGAATTGTTTCAGATATTCTTTGAAGATGTAAAAGGAATTCCCTTTACACAGGGAAAGCTAAACAAACAAAAAGATAATGCTTTATGAAAGAAATGTAGGATTATTCTGAAATAACTATTTACTTTAAGATGTATAGCAGCTAGTTTATATTCCAGAACAACTTTTATCTATAAATCATCCTGTGGATCTTTAATCACATACACTTCTGAAATGGAAATACTTAAAAATATTTTTTTTTTTTAGTATTATATTAATTCAGTCTTTTAAATATTTTAAACAAAAGCTAGTACTGGAAAAATTCCAGTTGCTAGATGCATAATTTGAAGTCATATGAAAAATGGAAATGTACTTAAAGATGATAGGAATCATTCAGTCAGACCCACGCTATACAGGAAAAGATGGCTCCCCCCACCCCATTCTTCCCCATGTCCCCATAGAAGACTTCTAGAACAGACTTTTGGTTTTGCTTTTTTAATAAGTCCATAAAAGCAAAGAATTTATAAAAAGCACATGCAAGTCCATTTACATTAACAGTTCACTGAGAAGCTTCAAGCTTTCCTTAGTACAGGAACTATGTCTTTAAGATTGCAAGTAGTAAATAAAACAGGACACCAGAACTGACAGCTAAGGTGACAACACCAACTTTACTGACAACTGAATTCCTGGTTTGTTCCTGGGGCATAAGGATGCATGGGTGCATGACACCCAAAATGAATTAAAATTCCCTATAGTTTTGGAGAGAACAGCAAAATTGCTTTGCTTTCGCTCTTTTACTGATCCATTTTAAGTCATATCAACAGATCGACAATTTTTGAAGTGTTTTGTAATTGCAGCCGAGATTCTTGGTTTCATCTTTGTCCTGAAAGAGGGAATGTAAGTGAATATAAATGGGATCAGAAAAAGAGATGTCAAGACAAGGTGCAACAGTCCCACCTTCAAATGCTATGAGGAAAAGAAACAGATTCTTGGACTCTGCCCTCTCCAACTCCATTCTGTGCAAAGCCAACTCACCAGTTATTGAACAGTGAGGCACTACCCTTTTGCAAATCTCTACAGATCCTTTAGCACTGAGCAAAAGTAAGAGGAAAAGGTATTCGAAGTATCTTAAAGACTTTATGAGAACAAAATAACAGTTTGTATTATTGCTTCACCATTCTTTCAATATCATTATCTTTCAATATTTGTACTTTCACTTGAAGTAAACAAGATACTCCCACACGGAATAAAAAAGTAAAAGTAGCTCAGCTTTCCCTTTTCTCAGTAGCTTAGAGATAAGAAGGACATCAGGCACATTTAACTGTTCCTATCTTAAGCCATACAGTAGTTTAATGTTGTTGCAATAATGTGGTTTTCTTTTCAAAAATCTACCCATTTTTCCCCCCCCTTAAAATTTCCTTATGTAGCACACTGGCACCTTGAAGACACACCCAATGTAGTACTCTGGTTTGCTACAAAATAATTCAATCCTCCCTCCCTTAGAAGAAATTAGAATTTGTCTTACTGTCAGGAAGACTGAGATTTTCCCTATCTACAGAATAGGTATGAGCTGTAACTTCTGTATATGCTCCACTTATGTCTCTGGCCAAAAGTGATTATTGAAGCCATTCCCCCGCTGACCAACTAACATTTCAGTCTTTGTTAAGGTAAAAATTTTTAAGTGCTAACAGGAAACCAGACAGTTTTTGACATAAATTACAGTGAGACCCATGAACATTTCATGGGATTTCAGTTATCAGTCCACAACTTGGGACAAATAGAACAGCTGCTGTCACCTCGGTGGCAAGAAACATAGTACCAAGCAGTTGCCAGTGGTGTTTGGGACTGTAACCGAATTGATGATTATGGTGTAAATGGGTTTTCCGTCATACAGTAAGTTTTCCATAATTATCAACTGTCAGTCATCTCAATATCCTGCTAAGCCTTCCATTTTTTGTGATTAAACCTCTGTGGCAGTGGAATTATTTCCCAAGTTAGTGATGTAAGTTACACTGCATATGCTAGATGCTGGCAAAAATGAAAGCACCAACATTAAAACAAAATTGTCACTACAGATGAAAGTGTCATACAATGGTTTTGATGTACTTGTTGGTACAAGTGAATCTCTCATGCTGACAACTATATTTTTTTTTTTTAAATGGTACACCGTGTGCCCCATAACCATTCAAGTAACACACAGAAAATTGAAGAAGTTGTTCCTGGAATTTCACAGAAATCAAATAAAAGTCGTACAACCCACAGCAACATCCATGGTTTGTTCTTATTGCAATAAAAGGTCAGTAAGTACTCTTCATCCCATTAATATTAAGATTTCTTTTAAAGAAAAGGTGCTGATATTTTGTATTGTTTCATCTATGAGGTAGATGGCAGTTTCATATAAATAGTTTAATTCAGAAATTAAGTTAGCTCTGAGTCTGCAACAAGCGCTGCACCACTGACTGCTCAAGTCAATTATTAAATCATGAATACAAAATAATTCCTCATTTTAAAAGACAAACACTAAGTCTTTGAAA